CGCACACGGCGAGCGAGAGGGCGGCCGGGGGGGCTCCTGGCTGTCTCCTCACTGCACCCCGCTCCTTCCCCGGCTCTCTGAAGTGCCAGGACACACAGAGCAAAGCCTTTTGCCCCTGCCCCGGGGACAAGTTGGTTCCTGGGCCATGTGCCAGCAGCCAGCTCGCTGTGGGAAGGGAGCCGGGGCGAGGGGCTGCCCCGGTGCCAAGCGCTGGCCGAGCTGTTGCCGCAAGTGCTGATCTCTGACCGTGTGTGGGGTCTGGTTGTGCCCACAGCAAAACCAGCCCGGTGAGATTCCTGCAGGCAGGCACAGAGGTGGCACCGGGCAGGAGGGCTGGGAGCCACCTCCACCCAGGACGCTGCTGCCAGGGACTGGAAACCCCCGGGCTGTCCCCACGCCAGCCTGGGGTCCCACCCTTCCTCCTCTCCATCTCGGACACTTTGCCTCGCTCACACAGTGCCTGAAGGTCCCCAAAGGGATGGCTGTCCCCAAAGCTGCTGGAGAGCAGCCCCTGCAGTGCAGACCAGCAGGGACCACGGTCCCCAGGCAGCAGGGACACCCCAGAGCTCGGTGTGAGGCCAGGACAGCCCTCCAGGCCCTAACACCAACACAAACACGCAGTGAAGCTTTCCCAGCCCATGTAGGTGTTTGATTAACCACGCAGGGGATTGATTAAATGCCAAACAGGAGCTGTGGGAGTTTGCAGGTTTAGTTAGGGAGCAGAAGGATGCTGGCAGGGGCACTAAAGGGCCAGCACCCTGCCCATGCCCGTAGCCCTCACCAAAGCACCAAGCAGTCTGGCTCCTCACAGCCTGGAGCCGACTCTCCTACCATGGCTGTGTCCACACGGGGAGCCCAAGGCCCCTGCAAGGCCAAAGGAGAACAACAAGGATCGAGTGCTCATTAACCAGAAAATGCTCAAGACCTTTTTTCCCAAAAGCTGAGAGCCCAAACAGCACATCCATCCCACTGGTGTGGGATACCCAACCCTCCAGGTGAGCCGAGTGAGGCAGGGTGTAGGGACCAAATCCCATCCTCAGCAAAAAATCTGCCAGTCATGCATTTAATAATCCTATTAATGGCGTGACTCAGTTCCTAATACCTGCTGGTATTTACACAGGGCTCGAGTTTTATAAGAGCAGCCCCTACTTGCTCCATGCCAGGTCTGGGCTGGGGCAGGCAGCAGTGCCAGCCTGGTATGCTGCCAGCCTGTAGAGATGTGCTTTTGGCAGCTTAACTGGATGTTTGATGAAAATGATAGGAAAAAGAACTCAGCAATGAGGTCTGCAGCATCACAAGTGCTCGTGTAAACACAAGTCCGGGCACCTCGTGGGACGACTTGCACTTGGCTCTTGGAAACGCTCCTGAGAGACCCCCAGCTTTCCTCCTTTAGCTCTTCCCCCAACGTCTGCGTTCGTGTGTCACCCTGCTCATGCCAGAACAAGGTTTGCACAGCAGCAGAGCCTGCGTGGGCAGCTGGAGGCTGTGGGGCTGGAGGGGGAGTGGGCTGGGGGCAGCCCCCCTGGGCACAGCACCCACTTTGCAGGAGGCATCAGCCCAATGCCAGCCAGAGAAACGTGTCCCGTCTGGATCCCCAGGACAGCACTGGAGAGGAGGGAGCTGCACCCCAAACTCGGGCTCCTCGGGTTAGCAAAGCTATAGGGAAAAGGGAACAGCTGGAAAATACCAAAGGCTGATCCCTCCCCCGATTGAAAGCCAACCCCCTCCATCCAAACCTGAGCGTTTCCAGGGGGAAACTGGAGGGAAATGGCCCCTTGCAGGGGGGGCACAGATCAAAGGGTGTCAGTGTCCAGGAGCTGAAATCCTGGACCCAGCATGGCCCCGACCAGGGCACGGCCCCAGCACCCCGAGCTGCAGCCCCCCGGGAGCACCACTTGGAAACCAGCTGAGAAACCTGGTTTGCTTCACAGCTCAAGCTGGGGGCATGCAGGCACCCACCCTCCCAAAAAACACGGCGCAAGGGTGACAGCCAGGACGATGCAAAACCCACCCACAACACCCCAAAAGCCTGACTGTCGCCAAAACCAACCAGCCCTGTTCCCAGCCCAAATTTTCTGCTGAGCCCCAAAGCCAGAGGCTGATGTGAAGGGCAGTGAGCAGCAGGGAAGAGCCGGG